TCACAGAAATCTCGGGTCAGAAAGTCGCACTGGTGAATGTAGAGAGATGTAACCCTCGGACAACCATCATCTGTAGCGATGCTGCCTTCTCATAAGGAAGGAGTTAGAAAAGGCCGACCCTAAAAGTGCTACACCTCACGGATTTCCGTCCCGGCGGTAAGACTATTTGAAGAACGAAGCTGATACGTGCGTGACCGGCCTCAAACAGTTGTCCCTTGGGCTCTGCGGTCACGCTCCCAGGTCGTTAAGACCAACTTCTTTTTCAGATTCCTCAAGAGAGATAACCTTCCACGGTGTGGGCAGCCGGGAATCGACATCAGTGCCCATACACATAACAGCACACGAGACCAAGTTGGTCACAATCAAACCCTTCCTACACCTCCTAATTATTCTTATCTCCACAACTAACCCTCCTCACGGTCCTTTATCAAATCGCGCCGCTAATACAAATGATTTGAGTACGTGGAACATTATTCCGGGTCTCCTGAAACCACGCTCTAAACTACATGTAGCAGCTTTTAACGTCCGAACACTGCGAAATAGGACAACAGGCCTCCTTAGTTAGAACTTTAGAATCTTGCACCATCGATGTTAGCTGCATCTCTGCAACGCGCATACAAGATCCAAGTAGCGTCATTTGATCTCACCATGTCATAATAACGAACGAACTCGATTCACTCTCTTTTGGACTGGATCTCAGTACACAGTTGTTTTGTGCGCTGTCCGACTAAACAAAACAGTAGGGACTCAGAAAGATAGACACTCGTCGTTGCCTTTTCTTCGTCTCTTTCTACTATCCCACTGACTGCAGCCTAGATGAGTTTTACAGAAAGCTTTCCTACCTCTAAAAGACTAGGCGTTCTGATGTAGTAATAGTGGCTGGTGACTTTAATGCTCAAGTGGTTAAACTAAGCGGAAGGCACCTGGGTGGATCTTATGGTGTCGTGGCTCAAAAGAACAGATATTGGTGACTGCCTGTTGCAGCTATGCTCAAATAATTGCCTGTTTCTTGCAAATATTAACTTTAAGCACAAGGGAAAACATATTTTGACATAGCAACCCCCGAGTTCGTCCCAACGTTGGACCCAACTAGATCACATCGCTATCAGCCCCCGATTGAGGGGTCTGCATCTTAGGTACACCATAACGTTAGATAGAAATACTGGGTCTTAGCAGCGTCTACCGCACTGAAAGATGCTCGAAAACTCATTCCATCTGGCTCTGAACATAACGAAGAGCGGAGTCAGCTTAAGCGCAGGCTAACAATCAGCCTACGCAATAATCGCGAACAGTGGTGGTTAGTGAAAACAAAAGAGATAGAAAAAACAGCGGGAATAGGCAGCAGTAGACAACTGTTCAGAGTTGATAAAAACACCGGTATTAAGAACCCAAGTGTTAGCGAAACTATCTCAGACAAAGATGGGCATATCATTCATTCTCAATCCAGAAGATTGGATCGATGGGCAGAACACTTTAGGGATCAGTTACCCACGATCACCAGTCGTCCTGAATGACAAGTTAATGTAAATCCACCAACTCTCTACGAGGTTGAAAAAGTTATAGGAAATCCGAAGCGAAGGCGATCAACAGGCCATGATGGGTTTGCCCCTGAGGTTTTTAAGGATGGTGACCCAGTATTAGCAGTGAGATTGACTGAGGTCTTAGGTAGAATCCGGGAACTGGACATAATTCCATCTGACTGGTCCCAATCACTGATTGCGCCTGTCTACAAGAAAGAACAAAAGTCCTCTTGTGACAATCACAGAGGGACCAGTTTGATTAATATAGTGTCTAAAATATTAGCTTTAACAACACTTCGACGCCTAACTAAAGCTCATAAAGAGCAGACTAGAGGAAACCAGGCTGGTTTTCGACCTGGACGTGGTTGTATAGACCAGATATTAACTCTACGTCAGGTCCTAAAACATAGACACACATTCAGACGCCCGACAATAGTAGTATTTCTTTACCTTAAGATGGTATTTGCCTCCGTTGATCATCAGGTTCTATGGCAGTGTTTGTCACTGAAAAGAGTATCAAAGAAGTACATTAACCTTATAAAGGATCTGTACTCGAACACATCTGGTCGAGTTAGAGCTTATGACGAACTGTCATCAAAATTCATTACCTCAAGTAGTATTCGTCAGGGCTTTCCAGTTTCTACATTCTTGTTTAACTTGGTCGTTTACATGCTTTTAGAGATAACACTTTCATCATCCAAATTTCCAGGAGATTCACCTGTTGACTCAGAATATGCCGATGACATAGTTTTATTTGGTGAAGATGTTGAAAAAATGCAGAGTATTCTGACTAAGCAAGCATGTTTGGTATACGATTCTCCCCCTCGAAGTGCGAAATGTTACTTCAGGATTGGGTTGCATCGACACCTGAACTAATGATAGGGAGTGAAGTAGTTGAGTGCGTTGATGGCTTCACTCACCTTATGAGTCTCATCAGACCTTGTGGTCTGGTGTGTAACGAAATCTCAGCACAGATATAGAAGGTTCGTCTAGCTTTCGCCAACTTGCGTCATTCATGGTGTTGGCGAGATATCCGTCTAGCAACTAAAGGACGGGTTCACTGCGCAACAGTTGATTCCGTCTTACTTTATGGCAGTGAAACATGGCCGGTAAGAGTAGAGCATATTCGTAGGCTACTAGTATTCGATCATAGGTGTCTTCGAAGAGTTGCTCGTATATCCTGGGATCATCGAGTAAGTAATGCAGTTGTTAGGAAACGGGTATTAGGTAAGGATGTAAAGAAAATGACGAAGTATTGAAACTTCATCAGGTGAGATGGCTGCGACGTGTTGCGTATGCCCAACCACCGACTGCCCCGTCGTGTGATGTTTTATGGTGTAGGAGCAGGTTGGAAGAAAGCTAGGGGCGGCCAGATCAAAACTTGGCACAATTCCATGAAGTCACTGACAAGTGGACTGAGCCATGTTAGTAGATGTAGACTATCTGGTTGGGATTCGCGAGATCATAGCAATCGATGGTTAGAGACCTTGAATGACATGGCTCAAAATGGTTTGCAATAGCGTAGGTGCATTCACTGTGTTCTCCTAAATCCTAATCTTCTGAATTCTTCATGTCCCTTTCTTTTCCTCTTTTCAAATTTATCTCACTGTATTATACTCCTCCAATAACATCTTCAAACCCTAATCTTTCACATAATGTTTATACTCTTACTACTTCTACCACTATGGGATTTGAATGAACAACTGCATTTCTGTGTTAATGTGGTATGACTTGAACTGATGCACGTACGTACGGAGTTCTACGTTGTTGCTGACTGACTGATCATTCACAATTATCATGTTTAAGTCAGTGATATAACGAAATACGTTAAGATCACAGGAAGCAAGTGAACTTTCTAAGGATTCTGAGGTCATCTAAAATGGTTCGAATGATTGCGACTGGTTCTGATTTCTGTCAAAGCTTTTGCCCGCATTTTTACGGTTAAAGACTTTTGATAAATTTGCCAGAATTATCTTAATTTCATTGCTAGATGCACAAGTCTAGCAGTCGAACACAGACCACCTACAATTATGTATAATCATAGACCGTTCATAGTTGTCCCGTTTCACATTAACATGAGAGTAAACAATGAATAATAATGAAGTAAAATCTCTGGTGATACTACAAAACGAAAAAATACAAGAAAACAGATTATCGAGGTAACTTTATTTACACGATCTAGCAAGATAATAAGTACACATGCATTGCTGAAGCCCCGTTTTAGCTATGTTATTTTGGAAATGGCAACTAAGATTTCTAAATTTCCCTGCATGATGTAAACCGACAGTAGTGACATAGTGTTGTCTTGGTCTTTTCACCACTAGATTCTCTCCAACTTGTTCTTATAGTACGTATTATACTGTACCTGAAAAGACTAACTGAGCATAGATAGCATGTGTCTCAGGTGTCGATTCAAATCCCATAGTGGTAGAAGTAGTAGGAGTATAATCAGAAATCCAAAAGATTAGGGTTTGAAGAAACTATTGAAGGAGTATAGTACAGTGAAATAAATTTGGAAAGAGAAAAAGATAAAGACATAAGGAATTCAGAAGATTAGAATTTGGTAGAACACAAAGAGTGGATGCACCTTCGCCATTGCAAACGATTTTGAGCCATGTCATTCAAGGTCTCTAACCATCGGTTTCTATCATCTCGCGAATCCCAACCAGGTAGTCTACACCTACCAACATGGCCCAGTCCACTTGTCAGTGACTTCATTGATTTGTGCCACGTTTTGGTCTGGCCACCCCTAGCTTTCTTTCAACCTACTCCTACACCATGAAACATTGCACGTCGGGGCAGTCGGTGGTCGGGCATACGTAACACATGTCCCAGCCATCTCAACTGATGAAGTTTCACTACTTCATCACTCGATTTGCCATCCTTACCTAGTACTCGTTTTCTAACAACTGCATTACTTACCCGGTGGTCCCAGGATATACGAGCAATGCTACGAAGACCAACCTTGGTCGATGAAATTTTACAATTAAGTGAACCTCTATATCGCAACGGTGGAGCGGTTGACTAGTGGTTACTCAACTTTGAGTCAGTGAGCCTTTCCATATTACTGATCAACCTAGTTTAATTTGGGTAACGAGATAGTATCACCAGCCACGATACAAACGATGTGGCCCAAAGCCGACTGATGATGAAGTTTATTCATCATGTATAGATCTATGTACTCGGACTCAGTGGCCGAGTGGATAACGCGATGGCGTTTGAAGTGAGGGTACTGGGTTCGAGTCCCAGAGTGAACATCAACTCTGAGATGCAGGTACATCCAGCTGACGAGTCCCAAATAGGACGAAACGCGCGTCCCGGATTCCACTGCTAGCCACTATCCATCTCTGCTTACCATAATTCGAAAACGTTTGCAAGAAGCGATAAAATTACATTTTGAGAGCCTGAGATTAAAAACATGTGAGTAAATGTTGGAAATTACACAAAATATCTTATAATGCATGAAAATCAGTTGAAAAATTATTTAGTCCAAGAAACTTTCTGGATATCGAAGTGTTCAGTGAGAGTGCTCAGATAGTTGTTAAATTCAATTATCCTTTGTTTATGCGATTTATCTGCCTTTGATAGTACAGATTCCAATATACGTTTGTCTCTACGTTTCTCCCACTCTACTTGGGACTTGGTTAGGTTTGTATATGTAGGCTTTGAATTCTTCTCTTCTTTGACAGTTTCATCGTTTGGATTTATTTCAGAGGTATTGACAGCCACTTCAAGATCGTTTGGTGATAACTTTTTGCTACGCTTTTTCTTTTTCCTAAAAAAATAATTTAGTAAGGCTACTTACTTTTTTATTCCTTGCCCAGATTTCAGTTTTAGAGAACTACATAAAACATCGTCATAATCTGACATCTCTTGGGCAACAGCCAAAATCCAATTTTATAGAACAAGAGCACTGAGACACTCGAATCAAATCAAATTGCTTTAACGGTTAGAATTTGAAATCAAAAACTTATTGTTTTGGTTCTTGTATCAGCCTGCAAGCAATTACATAGAAGTTTGTTTTAATATCTTTAGAAGTGGAAAGTAAAAGTCTGAATCTTCTTGTAGAACGCACTATGAAAAAACGCTTGAAAAGGTACGATCTTAGTTATGTCAGCCAGTCAGTCGTAACGTTCTAGCAAAATAAACCAAAGTTTCTGTTACTGTATTTGAGTTACAAGTTTGACGGAAATTTAGGAAGGAGCGTTGTAATTACATTCACAACTAGCATAATGTGTTTATGTCCACTGGGTTTTGATATAAATCGATTCATTTTCGGTCAAATCAGGAAAACATTGTTTTGAGATTAGTTGGCATATAAGCTTAATAACTGCTTTGTGCCACTTTTATAAAAAGTTTTTATTGGGGTTTGCGAACAGTTAATCTCATTTTGGATCGTATTCAGATTGACTTGGTGGAATAAAGGTTACCAGTTCTGCAAACCCAAGATCCGAAAGCGAAGTCGTACTGCTGACTGTACAGAGCTGTGACAGCAGTAAGGTGTTTCCTTCAGACAACCAGCATGACAGCGATGCTGCCTTCCCACAAGGAGGGATGGGGTTAGAAAAGATCGACCCTAAAAATGCACACCTCGCCTTATCCCACGGATATCCGTCTCCGGCGGTAAGGTCCTTTGAAGAACGGAGCTAACACAAAAACTACCCACAAAAAGGTCGTGTGTGACCGACCTCAAGCAGTTGTACTTGGTCACTGCGGTCACGCTCTCAGGTCATTAAGATCACTTCTAACCCAATTTCCTTTTCAGGTACCTCTAGAAAAACCCTTCCACGGTGTGGGCAACCGGGAAGTGATAACTGCCCTCATACCTCTAACAGCACTCAAGACCACTGTATTCATAATCAATCTCCTTCTTCAATTCCTATTATTCCTTCTACCTTGATTTTCAACACTAAACTTCCTCTTCCGGTTTCCTCCTCAAGTGTCACCATGGCCAACGATTCTAGTGCGCGAAACGCTGTCCCAGGTCTACTAAAACCTCGCTCCAAACTACACATTAGAGCCTTCAACGTACGTACTTTAAGTCAAATCGGTCAACAGGCCTCCTTGGCTAAGACCCTAGAATCTCGTACCATTGATGTATGCTGTGTCTCCGAAACATGCATACAGGATCCTAGTGTGGTGATTCACTTGACCTCACCTCGCCAAAATGGACAGCCAACGAAATACACCCTCCGTGTATCTGGCGACCCGTTGGCTAGTTCTCGTGGACTTGCAGGTGTAGGCATAGCACTAAGTACAAGGGCAGAACAGGCACTACTCGAATGGATCCCCGTTGACAGTCGCCTGTGTGCTGTCCGGCTAAATGGCTTCGTAAGAACTCGGAAGGATAGGGACACACGTCGTTGCCTTTTCGTCGTTTCTACCTACGCTCCCACTGACTGCAGCCATGATGAAGTGAAAGGTGACTTTTACAGAAAACTCTCTGAGCTTCTTCAGAAAGCTAAGCGCTCAGACATAGTAGTCGTAGCGGGTGACTTTAATGCCCAGGTAGGTAGCTTAAATCAAACAGAAAGACATTTAGGTGGGTGTTTTAGTATTCCGGCTCAACGAACCGATAATGGTGATCGTCTGTTGCAACTATGCTCAGACAATCGTTTATTTTTAGCAAGCACTAATTTTAAGCATAAACAGAGACATCGTCTAACATGGCGACCACCTGCACCAAACCAACAATGGACTCAAATAGACCATATTGTCATCAGTCATCGTTGGAGAGGCTCAATAGAAGATTGTCGCTCGTATTGGAATACTTGTTTAGACTCTGATCACGCTTTAATACGAGCGCGCATTTGTCTGCGCCTCAATGGACGCAGGAAAAGTACACTAAGAAGACCCATTAGGATTGAACTGGAGGACGAGAAAGCCAAATGCGAATTCCAGAAACAACTAAGTTAACATCTAGGCAGTTCTGTAAACGAGACTGACTCAGATGCCGCTTGGAAAGATATACGAACAGCTGTGGAAACAGCAGTAACATCTATTAGTTATTTAAACCATAGGGTTCCAAAAAAACAGTGGATTTCTTCTAAGTCTATTTCACTGATGGATTCGCGTAAACTCATCTCATCAGGCTGTGAACACGACGAAGAGCGTAAACAAATTAGATCTAGGTTAACTAAAAGTCTAAGGAACGATCGTGAGCAGTGGTGGGCAACGAAAGCAAAAGAGATGGAAAAAGCAGCGGCTGTAGGCAACACCAGGCAACTATTCAGACTAATAAAAGAAACCGGAATTAAGAAGTCAAGTGTAAGTGAGACAATCTCGGAAAAAGACGGAACCCTTATCTGCTCTTAACCCAAACGTTTGGAACGATGGGCCGAACACTTTAAGGAGCAGTTTACCTAGCCTTCAGCTACTGCACAACTACTCACTATTCCCAGAAAACCTGAATGGAACACTGAAGTAAACCCTCCGACCCTACTTGAAGTTCAAAAGGCTATAAGTAACCTGAAACGAGAAAGAGCAGCTAGTCCAGATGGATTGGCTCCAGAGGTCTTTAAATATGGTGGTCCAGTTTTAGCGATTAGGCTGACTAATATTCTGACTAAAATCTGGGAGACGGACATAATCCCATCTGACTGGTCACAATCTTTGATTGTCCCAATATATAAGAAGGGGCCAAAATCATCCTGTGATAACCATAGAGGTATTAGTCTGACTTACATAGCATCTAAAATACTAGCCTCAATAATTATCGGGCGCCTAACTAAGACTCGTGAACTGCAAACACGAGAAAATCAGACTGGCTTCAGACCTGATCGTGGCTGTACCGACCACATATTCACCATTCGTCAAGTTTTAGAGCACAGACATGCTTATCGGCGCCCGACAATGATAGTTTTCCTTGACTTGAAAGCAGCATTTGACTCTGTAGACTGAGAGGTTCTGTGGCAGTGTCTGTCATTAAAAGGTGTACCTCAGAAGTACATAAACCTTGTGAAGGCTCTTTACTCGAACACTACAAGTCGAGTGAGAGCTTATGGCGAACTGGCATATGATTTTACAACCTCAAGTGGTGTCCGTCAAGGCTGTCCACTATCCCCATTGTTGTTTAACTTCATTATAAACCTGTTGCTGGAAATAACACTCTCTTCGACTGAATTTTCAGGAATTGATCTCCTACCAGGAGGTCCACTAAGCGACTTAGAATACGCAGATGACAGAGTCCTGTTCGGTGAAGACGCTGGCAAAATGCAGAGCCTTCTGTTAGAACTAAGTAATAATGCCATGATGTTTGGGATGCGTTTCTCCCCACCCAAATGTAAATTGTTACTCCAGGACTGGCCTGCGTCAACACCTGAACTAAGGATAGGGAGTGAAGTAGTCGAACGCGTCGACAACTTCACTTATCTTGGAAGTCTGATCAGCCCTAATGGGTTGGTGTCTGACGAAATCTCAGCACGGATTTAAAAAGCTCGTTTGGCTTTTGCCAACTTACGTCACCTATGGCGAAGATGAGATATCCGTCTATTAATTAAGGGACGAGTATACTGCGCAGCAGTTCGCTCTGTTCTACTTTATGGCTGCTAAACATGGCCATTAAGAGTAGAAGATACTCGTAGGTTACTAGTATTTGACCACAGATGCCTTAGAAATATTGCTCGCATCTGCTGGGATAACCGGGTAAGTAATAGTGAGGTTTTTATTTATTTATTTATTTCAACACATAAATATTGGTACAAGGAAGCACCAGATAAATATGCGCCGCACAAATCTCATTCGATTTGTGTGAGGGCTGGGATAGTGCCCAGACTGAAGCAGATGGTTTTCTTAGGGGGCCACACCCGGAGCCTTTGACCTGAATGTCTGATCCACAAGGCAGTGGAGCATCGTGAGGAGATGCAGTCCCATGGTAGCCGGTGATCAACGATTGATTCGTACGCCATTTTGTTCCCTCAGGATACTGGAGCCCATGTGCACCATTAGTTTGGAATCAGGGTTTTCCAACTCCCCTAGGCGAATTTTCCATGTCCATCAACCCGGTTAAAGCGCCGGACATTCGCTTTTCGTCCTCTCACTTTCGTAAACAACACCCCCGCCACGAGAAGGCAGTGAGTAGGACTTCCCTGGCAGAGGCTGGGACGCAGGGTATTAGGGAATGATGGTAAATCAGTTTATGAGGTCATGATTCTTCATCGACTGAGATGGTTGGGCCACGTGTTACGTATGCCTGAACACCGATTACCACGACGCGCAATGTTGACCAGTGTAGGGGATGGTGGGAAGAGAGTTAGGGGCGGCCAAACTAAAACATGGCATCAGTGCTTGAAGTCACTAACTTCTAGTCTGAGCCATGTTAGTAGATGCAGACTACCTGGTTAGGGTCCGCGTGACTATCGTAATAAATGGCTGGAGACTCTGGGTGACATGGCTCAGAATCGATCACAATGGCGTAGGTGTATACACTCTTTATCTTCCCTTAAACCTTGAGATTAAAATTGCTTCATAACTTTTTTTTCTTCCTATACTATATCGTTATATACAACCTTTCTTTATATACTACCACCACTAAATTAATTACTTCTATGAATCCGGTGTTCATCCTGTTGTGCTAACGAGGTATGGCAACTTGGACCGATGCATATATGTGCCTGGTCGTACGTTGTCGCTGACTGACTGAGTTCTGCTTAAAACAAAACAGCCATCGAATGCCCTAGGACGGCCGAGAGTGGGGAGAGTACGCTCTCCCTCTCGAAATGCTTTCCTATGCCTACACGTATACAGCCATAAACAAGGAAGTCCTACTCACTGCCTTCTCGCGGCATTACTGTTGTTTACGAAATTGAGAGGACGAAAAACGAATGTCCAGCTCTTCAACCAGGTTCGCGGACACGAGGGCTTACCTAGGGGAGTTGAAAAACCCTGATTTTAAACGAATGGTGCACATGAGCCCCAGGACCCTGAAATAACAAATGGAGTATGAGTCAATTGTTGGTCACCATCTACCACGGGACTGCACCTCTTAACGTTACTCCACGGCCTTGTGGATTAGACCTTCAGGTTGAGGGCTTCGGGTGTGATCCCCTAAGAAAACCATCTGCTTCGGTTAGGGCAACCGGTCAGTATCCAAGCCCTCACATAAATTGAATGATTTTTAAGGCGCACATCTATTTGGTGCCTCCTTGTACCAATGTTTGTGTTTAAATAAATAAATAATTTCCTACTGCCATAATTTATAACAGTACTAATCGTGATGTACATTATTTTGCTAGTGGTGGAACCTACATTTTAGAGGACTGTTGTTGATTGTAGAATAGTGAAACCTATAGACAGATATACTGGAAAATTCTTTCAGTTGGAAAAGGATGAAGACGATTATTATTTTGGTGTTGCGTAAAATCCGTATCTGCTATTGAAGAAAATATTCGGTGAAGTCACGATTTACAATCGTCAGTTGAATTTGGTAGATGTAGATATGGCTTCTTGAGTTAAACACTGGGTCCCAAAAAAATACCGCATGGATTGCATGTGCACCATTTGGATACACCCAGTCATCAGGATCACTATCAACAAGACAAACCTATACGGTTTCGGACACGTTTCGTGTCTAGGATTAAACACAATGTTGAACACTGGAATAGTGTACCAAATACTACAAAATTTTTTGCGTCTATATAGTGAAGCAGCCTCAAGGAAACCAAAAAGTAGACATTACTTGAGAGGATAAGAGGGAAGCGCGTCAAGAAATCTCTGTCGCCTGCCATGAGGAAACAGTGAGAGTCCTCCTCTTCATGTGGCCCTTTGTTCGAAACACTACTGAATTTATGGGGGATTGTCTACTTATGTAAGGCAGTATCTACTTTCAGCCCACATCTACGACTCATTGTCTACATTGAATCAAGATTTGTGTCTACTACATGTTATTTTCCCAGTATAACTCGGAGTTGCTTGCTTATCAATTTCATAACCTCCGTGCGTCGAGTTTTTTTTAGGGTGTTTCATATAAGGCTTAAATAGAGAGGCAGACTAGAAACCAGTATATGGCAGTTATGCTGTATATAAGGAGGGACCAGGATTGTGTAGGAAATGTGACTTTTTGTAGTAAGCCTCAATTTGAGATTTCACGGACTAATGTGGGTACGTCAGTCAAATATGACCGCAGGAAACAGGTAATTATGTAGGAATACTAGATTCACCTGATTTGACCATTGATATATAGCAGTAGATGTGTTGCTGCATTAGGGAGTCTTTATTACGGATATGGAGTCGTATGGTCGTTTTGAAAAAGCAAAATTTCGGAAGCTGAAGGAGTACTAACTTTATTGTACATTATAAGCACCACTAACCTGTGTAACAATCTAAATGGGACTAGGTGGAGTTAGTTCCAGATGGCGCGGGGGACCGATAGCGCATTAATTCAATATCCAATACGTTTGCCACGATATTTTTAAACCGATCGATTTCTTTCCTTTCGCTCCCAGTTGTTTCGGTACGGTTTTAGACACTTCGTGGTATCCAATAGGTATTAGTCTAGCCACTTTACTTCACTAATTCGGACCAGTGGTAGTTACTTGTGGATTTGTATATACATGTAGCAGTAAATAAATCCCCGAAGTACAAGTTTTGTAAACCTTAGATATTTGATGCTGGACGCATATAGCTGAAAGAGTTCATTCACGCATCCACACTAGATCACGAGTGGGTACGCCGTGTTATGCACCCCTATCAACTGTTAGCCAGCTCAGATCAAACGTACCTCGACATGCCGATAGCTTTTCATCTATATCTTTGAACTCCTTCATTTCCTATTTGACTGGGTTGACATACTTCAATTACCGAAGGGTTTCTGGTTAAGGAATTGTCAAAATTCGAATACTTGTGGCATCTTTATACCAACAGCTATCACTTTATCAGGAAGGAGGTTGGTTGGTTGCTATGTAAAAATGATAAAGTGATGATTCGAGTACTAATAGACAAGGATTGTTTTAGGAATAAATAAACAAGTTTATTGATTGGTAGTGTATAAGAAGACGAGGATGGGTGAACAAAAGGAGAAACGGAGATGGCAATAAGAGACGTAAGAAGTAGCTACTGATATGTGGTAATGATAATCGGGGTGATTCATGAGACGTGCATCAGACACAGCTGGCTCAATAAGAACATGGTAATCTACTAGTGACTGAGTGTTCGTCAAGTCTCCGCTCGATGCTATCTACTGAGTGAGTTTTAGTCACTTTGGCTGAGAAAGCATTCCAAATTGGGCCAACTCGTAATGAGAAAAAGTGAGAGCCTACATAAGTGTTCGCTTTTTGATGTATAATTTTCTGAGGGTTGCATTGAGGATCATAGTGATGGTGTTCTGGTAAAATGCTCGTGTTGGAGTGACTTGGCGTACTTGTTGTGTTGAATGCAATTATCAGACCACCTCTTTTTCTCTTGTAGCTCAACGAGAACAACCTTATGTGTTGGGGCCTGTCCTCGTAATATTCATGTTTTTGACTTACCACCCACTTAGATGTCCAACCCTGTGCTTGGTCTGAGGTATTTGCATCACTTCTGAGGCGAGAGGACACCAAAATATTGTTACCGTCAAGGTGGGGCCGTGGGTGTTAGGGACAACTGTGGGGGTGATTGTCCCAAGTTATCTCGCATAAAGTTGTGAGTTGCATTTGCTCTGACTGTATCCCTTCGGGATAATTTGAACTGGTGTCAGAGCTCTTCCCGGTCACAGGCCCAAGATCGCGCTCTGGGGAGGCAGTCGTTAGCGGATTTCTGCGGAGAACGTAGTTACTTTCCATCGAATAAGGCAGAATGTCCATGACATTACGTTCCAAATCGTTAAGTCTTAACTCACTGTCTCCTACCTATTCCTTCATTGTTTTAAGGTCTTTTAGAATCTCAAGTGAATCGTTCCAGTCTTCTATAGACTTACAGATTTATGCTAGACTGCATAGACCAATGCCTCCAGGTAAAAATTTGTCTAATAATTCGGTAATAAGGATCAAATTCGACTCAGGATTGCTCCTTGTGAAACTCCACGGTTTTACTCTTGTGATTTGTTGCATGGGATAGACCAATAATTCTTAATTAAATGTCAGACACGGCATCTGAGTATGCATGTTATATTCTAAATAAGTATTTTGGCGAAGCTGCCACAGTAAGCACACATATTTTGTGTGTTAAAGGTTCATCAAGTTTGTCGGAAATTTTAAGGGATTCTCACAAAAAGTTACACCCAAGCCGAGTTTGCAAATGCCTTATTTCACTTGTCAGATATTCCATGTTAAATATACAAAAAGATTTGATATTAAAATACAGTTTAAATTATGAACGAATATTTTTCGTGCCAAGACTTCCATTATTTTGCAAACTCGTGTTTCATTACTATGGCAAGGTTGCTGAGCAGGCTATGATTTATTTTTCTATGTTTGGACGTGGATCTTTAAGTGACCTGTTAGTGCATTGTGTTAAAAAGCATCTCAATAGTAAACAAGAACAACACAGCTATGTTGAAGCTTTAGGAACCACTGTGACTACCCTTGTTAAAACAAATGTCCTTCAAATTGTAAATCCGAAGCTGTGGTCAGTTGAATCTAACAAGGAGACTAATGTATCGGCTGCGCCTCCTCGAACAGGTGAAACACCTGTACATGTCAATGTCTCGGAATCTGAAATGCAAATGCCAAAGGACGATATATGTGAGGCGTTACATAATTACATTTCCAGTGGATTTGTTAACTGGCCTATTGCAAATGAAAGGAATAATGAACCAGTGCGTAAACGTGCAAAACGTTATGATGAATCATCTGAGTTAGTGAAATCTCTTAAATTGGTGGTCTGTCCAAATATTCAAACATTAATGACAATGTGGAGAGATCGATTAATATGTCAGTTGGCAAGTGAAAAACTTGGTGAAATATGCGGTGATATTCTGTCACATTTGTTATGTATTGCTACAGTTGCCAATAGGGGCACAGGAATCACCTCTCCAGAGTCAGGAGCTGTTTCACGTTCAGAGCTTTTGCGAAGTATGCGAACTGTACCGGATCATATATCCTCGTATATCTCCTTATTGATAGATGATGAGGTGAAATTTCTTTTACAACAACCTGGATTGGCTGGTTACATCATACAAGTCCTCTTTGAAAGTAATGGGTTACGTATTTTCCGGTTTCTTCTGCTTGCTGGACCTTCAAATTTAGAAGAGATTGAACGAAAAGTATTGCTTCCCCAAAGTGATTTCCGTCGAATACTACCACGTATGGTATCTATGGGATTTATTACAACAACTGAGCTATCGCGAACAAAGGAATACACAGCGGACATTATCTTTTGTTTGTATTCGATCAATTTATTGCAAGTTGCTCGACTGGTAATAGAACTTTCACAACATAAGGTTTTTCGTATCTCTTTGCGTCGTGATTATGAATTTTCACAGAAAAGTCGTTTAATCCTGACGTTGAGGCCTAGCAACTCGCGTGCACTGTTCTTACTTTGGTATAAAAGTTTAGAAGTCAGGGCAAAAGTGAACAAGTGAAACCCATCATTACAACCTTCACTATAGGAAGTAAATGAGTTACATATGAAACGTTTTTGTAGCGTCGAGGAACGTCACATGAACCGGAGTATTATGGTCTCAGAAGGTAGTCCAGCTCTTCAATTCTATTAGGGGACTGAATGCACATTATCTGACTTTCCTAAACCCATATTGTGTTTCATGGGGGATGCTATTTCTATCCATCCATTCTTGGTCATGAATATGAAAAGGTATTTGTAGTTAGTTAGCACTTCACTGCTAGCATGACCTGAAAACATATTGCCGAGAACTTTGGTGTTCCATCTTTTTCTTATTGCCAAGTGAGAGGTAGGACGGGAACCCCTCGGGAGACTTTCCACTTGCGTTAGACCCACCGTCTGCCCTGTAGGAAGCGTCCCGTACCTTGCTTAGCCCAGAATCTTTACTTTCTGGATGTATGTTATGTCTGAACAGTCAGATGAAGTCTTTAGGCAAAATAAACAATTTATTGTTTATTTGATTAAGATAATGGTTTTAAATAGAGAGTTAAAACTCCACAATGCTTAGATCACCGAAGGGTAGGGTCTTCGTCCGCAATTGGAGTGTTTCCCTTCTAGGATTAGTTGGGTTGGAACTCTTTCATCAATAACTCGATACTCTCACAAGTGAATCATTGTACCGTTGGAGTAGTCCAATCTAAAAAGCTTAGTATGAGGTGTACGTTCTCCTTACTAACATGTACGTTAAATTAGTTTCGAAGTCCCTCTTTTCTTTGCGGTAAAAAATGGGTCTAGACGACCAAAAACTGCGGCATCTTTAGATTACCTGCAAAGCACTTCTCGGCTACCATTCATGACTCGTTATTATTTTTCCGAAGCGTAACTTATGTGGCGAGATGTCAGGATTCGATGAGATGAATTTAGATAAAGTGAAACCTTTCTCCGCCACTCAAGTTATCAGTTTTATACCTGCAAAGCATCTAAATACGACTTGGATAGTACCCCATGAGGTGTCTCATGCGAGCCACTGTAGTTGAAGGTTCGTTTATTTTTATTTATTTATTATTTATTTATCATAATTAGCTTTATTCAATATTATATTTTTGGTACAATATGGAATTCTCAGCACAAAGTACTTAAACAAGTCCACGTTTCTTACTTCTTCGTCCTTCCTGACGATAAATATTCAGTGATTGCCGGTTAGAAGTTAGCAGCCCAGTCAATCGACATCTGGATAATGTACATTCTTCTACATTCTTCGCTGCACATTGCCAACAACCACGATATCTCTAATTAGGCCTTCTATAACCTTTACAGCGAAAAGTCTTACACTTTTCAGAAACGCACCTGAATAGGTTGTGCGATTAACAGGCATAATGATGTATTAAAACAAACAAAATTAGATAACTTGTTGAAATATCTAGATGACAGGAGCAGGTAGCCCAGATGTTTAAACATGCCGTTGTCTGTTAGTTAAGCGACTTCATAAATATTTGAGAGGAACCCACTGATATCATCCAACTGATTGTGGATGAGGGAGTGAAGACTGTCAGCCCGCGGTTTCGAGTTATTAGTTGCAAGGAAAACACGACTTATAGGCTAGTCAGTTATCAGGACCCCGAAAAATATCGACCCATTTTTCTGCCTGAGAATATTTTCCCAGAGCTGTAATCACCATAAAAAATAACGTTTCGTACGGCGCCTTGTATGGAAGCCCGTTGACACAAACTAAAAAACAAATATATTAGTAATAAACGTGCATGACGAAACTTAAAAGTGCCATACATATGAAAAAGGAATTGTGTACTCGGATACTAAATAAGTGACCTTTTAAATATGATATGAAGCAGTTGATCAAAAGTGGCTTATCACCTGTTTTTTGAACTTGTCGATAAGACAAAGTTTGAATCATCCAACCAAGTACTTTTTAAATATCAAGATATAAGAGATCATACTTATGCTTTAAACAGAAGATACTAGTTAAGTTGTCCACCAGAATCAGGAGATTCGTTATTAAGGCAAAACCGTTTTTGGAACCATCCAGTTTAGGTCAAAAGATCAGTGAACTAAAACTGAACCTTGATTGAATTCTCCATCATTCTGGATACATCCCTACCTTAAAAGAATAGTAATTGACTTTTAAGTGTTTTGTCGAAATGTCACATGACAAACTATTACCACTGCAATGTCATAACCTAACAGTGTGTTACCTTTATTTCAGCTCCTGAGTGCAGCCATTCCGTCAGTTCCGATATTCTTTGTTATGACAAGCATTACCTAAAATTAATACTAAAATGCAAAGTCCTCATACAAAAGCTCTAAACGAGCTACTGAATGAGAACTATAATAATAAAGAAACAAGTTTTACCGGGTTAAACCAATTTACACGGATGATCATTTACTTATATACATATGTTTACGCCCCGGACAGCTTATTCTGATAGGGATATCTGTCTTTGTCATCAATCCGTGCCACAATATTCATAGCTTGTTTAGAACACCCGCACATCCTCTTTCAGTTAGTTACACCTGGTGGTACGTTTTCAGTCCTAACAAAATGATGGTGCAATAACGTCTAACCTAAAGTCAACCACATGATTTCTTCGCTATAATTTGTTGGTCCTGGTTTACGTTTCCATGTGTTTGTAGTATCCAATGAAGTTGGTTTAGCCAACTGACTGAAGCGGTTTTAGCGCACTCGATAACTATTTACGGGTAGGAACATCATCTATTTGGTATTTTATGAGGCATAAGACTAGTAGGTAGCAGTATGAAAATTATAACACTAGAATGAGGAGAAGCGATCAAAATATGATACTCATGAGAATTCCGGAAATTGATAAGACAAATAAACCAATGAGCCAAAGTGTAAGAATAATTAGTTGAGAGATAACAAGAAGCAAAACGTTTAGCGGATAATTTGATGAAAATAATAACTAAAACTATCAACATAGTAATTATATATGTATTGAGAGACATGCACCAGACTAGACCATGGTGAGAAAGTGTGACCTTAAACAGATGCTTACTATTTGATATGGGACCAGTCGAGGATCACCTTGTGTGATGGTAGAGTCTGCTCTAGGTAGCAATTTTCGCGACGGTGGCCCAAGATGACTAATGTCACAAATTACCATCAAGCTGCCTCTTGATTATTTGTATTGTAACGAGAACACACAATTTTAGTGGCCCTATACCTAACTTCAATCACATTGTATGCTGACTGTTATAGAAATATACACTTCGCAAGCCCTCGTATGTTTTTATCAACCTAAATCATGTTAGAGAATAACGGGACAAAATATACAAATACGAAAATGAAATTTGAATACGTATATTTCGTACATTCCTTTTTTGTAACAGACAATCCGAGAAACAAAGTGGGGAAAGCGAAATGAAACTAGACAAGGTGACGCACAGAGGAGAAGGCGATTAAATCAACTCGTCTTGATCAAGCGTGACTCAGTATTTTCAATCATACGAAAATAAATCACAGACACATAATGAATAGGGTAAACAATTAACGCGCGATCACACAACGTCAGGGTAAATAAGCGAGTAAGTGACAAGGTCGAAATGTGGCTCGAGAAGAATGAATAAAGTGGTCAGTCCAGAAGCTAGAATAACCTGCGTGGGCTTGATATAGTACCAGACACTACATAAAAAGTGTTGATGGGTTTAAATAGGCTTATCTACATGATGAACCATCATATGTGGTATTTGTATACCTGAGCATGCGACAACGAGAACTATCCATAGAGTAATAAACAGGTCAAATGAGCACAAGTTTAATCCTAACAATGCACGACATATATTTCAATATTTCATCGGGTAAAAAGCCAAAACAAAAATCGGAACCGTTTTAGGTGGTTGGTCTACAACGTCCAGCCTATTTTATTGTATCTGAGAGGGCCATAAGACTTTTGAAGCCGAATTCAGTAATTTCAGAGTAGTAGCATATACAAGGCCTTGAAACCTACAATTCAAGATGTCTGTTGGTTTTTGCCTAATACTAGGATATAAGGTATAGATTTAGTATATTCCTATGCTTGTAGCCTAACTTCACCGTGTCAGTCACCGCTACACAGATGCTTTGATTTTATGGGAACAGAAACAGGTTGACCTAGCTTGCGGTAACTACCCATAATGATTTAAAGACCGAACGATGAAAGCTCCATGACCAAACCACCCAACTCAGAGAACAAAACTCCATCAAAATCGACTTCATTTTAGTACAAAAAGGACGATGATTAATTGTGCCTATAATTGAGATTCTATGGCTTTGTCGACTCATATTTGGCACCCAAATAAAATTCGGTATCTTATGAGGATTATAAAATTGTGAAATTGTTCGGTAATTGTACTCTTGAGTTTTTATTTGATTAGGTTCCAAGCATAAATCTGAGCAAAGTGCAACCTGACCACCTACATCAGTTTCTCTATCATGTCGAGTCAGAAATGTCTCGTCTTTGGCTGGCATCCAGTCATTAATTCAAAAGACCCCTGTATATCCATAATGGTTACTAAATGGTAAATACGTTACGCAGTTACTAAGCTCACGTGGTCCATCCATAAGAGCTCCGACTCCTGATCAGTCTTTTAACTTGCCGTAAAATTTATTTTACTGACAATGAATCAATGGAAAGTCATTTACAACAAGTGTTTGAATATTGTCATATAATGAACGTCTGACCTAGGATTCATTTTAAAAGTCTGTTAAGATGCCGTCGGATGTAAGTGGAGTATGTTTCTGTCTCTTAAAGACAATTCCTTTTGCGATGTCATGAAATGCTTTTCTATCATGCTGAGAGATGAAAACACCTTTCAGTAACAAAAATGGACTCATTAGTATTTTATAGGCATATAAACGGCTATTAAGAAATAAAGAATGTCGAGATGTTCCTATGAACTGATACCTGAAACATATAAAATATAATATTTTTATCTTTAAAAAAACAGTAATTGCAAATAAATTCCCGACATGTTCTCCGTTTGACCCTCTCTTTGTTATTTTGAAAGAAGGTATCATCGTGGCTACCTACTTTTGGAAGTATGACACAATGATAATATTGTTAATTGTCACTTCAGACATACTGTATGAAGATATTTTTACTAACTTAAGCTCCTGTTGTGCAACATAAGATGCCTAGATTTCATATTATTATTGTTTGTCATTTTGTTCATATGTGAGATTAAAGTGTTTATGATCTCGACTGTTCTCAAAATTTGTATTTTCTGTCGCTTTGATGCGTTTTAGACTTCCAGTCTTTTTAAGGAATTAACACTTAAGGATGCTGAGAAAGCCTTGGCAGCGGATTTGGATTTGCTTGTGAATACCATACCAAATTCATCTCCAAAAAAAGAAGCGTTCATTAATCAAATGATATCTTTCAAGGAGTTGTTCAAGCAATATTTACATGATAAAACAGAAAAATTTGATTGGAATATGATGGAACCTGTTCCATCTGAAAGTGTAAGAAGATGTTTTTCTTGTTTTGCACCTATTAATTTTTCCTGGGTTTTGCACTTTTTATAACATAATTGACTAAATTTTACATGCGTTATGTTTGTAGAGTTGAGAAAAACTCTGCCCTTGACCTGATAACAATGTTATACCTACTCCTGAGAATTTCGCTTTGTTTAATACTTTAGTCAGAATGTGATTTAGTCTTGATTGCTTATCTTTATCACATTTTGTCAAAACTACATATATTTCTCCTTTGATCAGTTTGGACCGATAATGAATATTAAAATTTATAGAGTGAAACGAGTGGATTCTGTCTCGATTTTTCGCCCTAGATGCAAAATGTTTGAAGTTACAGATAGTAATATCATTATAAATGCACTTCTATGTACCTTAGTCGATAATCATGTTCATAGTGATATCAATGTCTGAAGCTTTAAGTTATTTGGAGATAATAAGGAATTTGAGATTAAAATGAGTTCACTTTATTCCGCGATTTTTTTATTCTTGCTTCGCCTTAAAAATGAATATGTCTATCAACTCAAAAACTACAAAATTTCTACCACAGTTGTAAGTTAAACGAAATACTACTGGGCACAAGAAAGTTGTGGATATTCCTTATTCCATCTATCGAGACTCTATTTCAACAAGTTGTGATGCGTATCAAAGTTTAAATGAGAAGTTGTAGGTTATGGAAGTGGTTAAAGCAGATTACTATTGATGAACATTTGGTGAAAAAATATCAACTTATAACTATGACACACTAGATGTGATAAATTTTATCAAAACACGAAAGAGTAAAATTAGCTAAGTTATATATATATATATATATGAATGAGGCAACTTGCAATTTGGAACGTTTATGTGAAACTATCAGTATGATGAGTAGAAGCAGTGGAAGTTGATAAACTAGTAATTTTCATGATCATATAGTACCTTCGGCTTGTAATTGCGAAATCTTATTACACAATGTTTTGTATTTGTAAATCGATTATCATTATTAATGGATGTATCTATAGTATTGATCAAAGTTTACCGAGTAAAATTACTACAAGGATATAGTGACTTTAAGTTTTCGGTCGCGCAATTGTCTTTTTATCGTATGTAATCTACTCATTTTAACATCTTCTACTTTAGAAAACATAATCGAAACTTATTTGTTTAGCGTTTAAACTTCAGTATGTTGTTTTAGCGTTTTTTAATTTCCACATTTTCTAATATCTAGATTAAAATGTACGATGCCCTTCATGTTCCTACCGATCGTGAAGTAATTCGTCAACAGTTAAATAAGCTAGTAGTGGTGAAACTAAATGGTGGCTTGGGCACCACAATGGGTTGTACTGGACCAAAATCTTTAATTTCAGTCCGAAGTAACCTTACTTTTCTTGACCTGACTGTACAACAAATCGAGGTGAGTAAAAATAATAGAAAAGTTGTTCAATACTTATTGCCGTTATTCTGCTTGCTTGCAACTGAAGAGGGAACAAAGAAATACATCCATCCTATTGCTTTATTCAGATTTATTAGTAGAAGACTGAAATAATACAAATTATTATTCATGATAACAGTACGGTTATATTTGTTCTCAAACTTTAAGGCTTTTATTTCGCCTTCTCACAAAAAAACCAAGTACGCTGTTAATTCTCTAACGACTAACAAGTTAGCTTTATGATAAACTAAATAAAAGCAACGTACAGCTGGATACTAATTTTTACTTGTTTAAGTTAAAAGAGTCAACATCAATATATCCGGATGAGATTATCAATCAGAAAGCCAAAAAGATGAGGACAGTTATTTCACTCCAGTCTAGTTCTAACTTTTTTGAACAATGAAAATTTCCAGCAAATAAAAAGTATTTCAATATAGTTAAAATTATCGATTTTCTTTCTCAAAGTATGTCGTTAATAGTCAATTACATTTTCAACATAACTCGGATAACTTTAATGATAAATTACTGAAATGTCATATCGTAAATGCTTTCAATTGACTATTGTAAGAGTAGCTAAAAATCTAAAACAGCTTGTATTATTCATGGTTGGATTGTCTTTGGGTTGAAATAAAACCATTAGAAGTAAATAATTTTAATAGATAGCTACCTGTTTGTCGTGAATTGTAGTTTGTCCTTAAAATTCAATGAGTCATCTACTTATTTCTAAGTCTATTACATATCGTGCTTTCTCATTTTACTTCATAGAAAGTTCTACTAGCGATAAACGTAAACACTTTTATATTACATTCGTTTTAGAGACTAAACAATGAATACGGAACTAATATTCCCTTGGTTTTGATGAATTCCTTCAATACACATACTGAAACTGAAAAGGTTTTACGCAAATATCAGCAAGTTAATGTTCAAATTTTGACATTTTTGCAAAGCTGGTAAGTGATTTTATTGATAAATAGAAAAATATTTACTATTTAATCTTATTTACAAACTAGATGAAACATTCTGACACTTTCAAGTTTTATAATTTTAAAAGTGACCAACTTGGTCTCGTGTGGAGTTACGAGTATGAGGGCTAATATCACTTCTCGGCTGCCCACACTGTGGAAAGGTATTTCTTGAGGGACCTGAAAAAGAATTTGGATTAGTGTTGGTCATAACGACCTGGAAGCGTGACCACAGAGCCCAAGTACAACTGCTTGAGGCCGGTCACGTACGGCCTTTTTGTGGGGGATTTTTGATATGTTAACTCCGTTCTTCAAAGGACCTTACCGCCGGAGACGGGTAGCCGTGGGATAAGGCGAGGTGTGCATTTTTAGGGTCGACCATTTCGAAGCCCACCCCTCCTTGTGGGAAGGCAGCATTGCTGTTATGCTGAATGTCTGAAGGAAACACCTTACTGCTGTCACACCTCTGTACAGTCAGCAGTACGACTTCGCCTTCGGACCTTGGAATTGCTGCTTTTAGTCTTACCGCTCTGACATGGTAGAACCTTGAGGAACGATTGTTGCAGCCGGTATAGCTCGATTGGTTCATCACGATAGGCAAGCCCGACCACCACGTCAAGGTAGCAGCAACGGTCGGGTTTTAGAATAAATAATAGACAATTTTTCGAATTCCATTCAGAGAATTTCTAACACAAACACGTTCAAGTCGAATAAACAATAAAGTGTAAAAGGTAGTAGAACTATAAAATAATGCTTATCAATATTGTACACTTTTGTATCCTATTCCATTCAGAAATTACTTGTCTAAGAGGATTTGAACAATCTTGACGGAATAAAATCTAACTGCAAACTATAGTTATTAACATTTTAAAAGTTTGACTATTTTTGCTAATTTACCATTTATATTTTGATTTTGGAAAAGTGAGTTTAGTCACTTTTTCTTTTTTGTCTAGCTATCCTCGTCTGAATCGAGAGTCATTACTTCCTATTGCTAAATGTGCTGGTCAAGAAAGCCATGACTCTGGAACAAAGACTTCTAAAGATATGAACTATAATCCTGAAGAATGGTATCCTCCTGGACATGGTGATTTCTATCGTAGTTTTGTTGCTTGTGGATTAGCAGAGAAAATGATAGCTATTGGTAAACAATGGGTTTTCATGTCAAATATTGATAATCTTGGGGCAACTGTTGATCTAAGTATCCTTTCTTAATGACGGTAGTTATCCAGATGTTTTTTAAATACAAGTTATGTGTATCGAATTCAAGTTTTTTGGATGTAAATTATCAAATTTATTCGACAGGTTATAGATAAAGTTTATATGAACATTCTTCAACATTTAAAAGAATAGTTTGATAGAAACGAGGCCAAATTACGTATAAAACTTATGTATAATTTATGTATTATGAAACAAAACTAATCAAGCACATGTTGAAACTAACTCAAAAAGTATTTCAACATTCCCAGGTATATAATCTCTGCCAGGGAAGTCATACTCACTGCCTTCTCGTGGCATCGGTGTTGTTTACGAAGTCGGGAGGACGAAAAGTGAATATCCGGCTCTTTAACCGGGTCGGTGGACACGAAAAGTCCACTTGGCTGAGTTGTAAAACCCTGATTTCAAATCAATGGTGCACATAGGATCCAGTATCCTGAAGGAACAAATGGCGTATGAATCAATAGTTGGTCACCGGCTACCATGGGACTGCATCTCCTCATGATGCTCTAATGCGTTGTGGTTCAGATCTTTAAGTCAAAGGCTCTGAGTGTGACCCCTTAAGAATACCACCTGCTTCAGTTTGGGCACCTGGGCAGTATCATAGCCCTCACACAAATCAAATGAGATTTGTGTGGCACATATGTATCTGGTGCTTCCTTGTACCAATATTTATGTGTTCAAATCAATAAGTAACTCCTAATTAATATAAAAGAAAACAACTAAAAATAACTCCAGTTGTAATTTCTTTCCTATAAGATATAAATGGTTAAATAGATGTAACAACTTATCACCTATTAACTCACTTTACTATAAGTTTAAAATATAAATGTTTTTAAAAAAACTATTTTCCTTAATTTACACCTATTTTAAAGATATTCTAAATTTTTTAATGAATAAAGAATTTCATTGCGGTAAACAATCTCCAGAGTTTGTTATGGAAGTAACTGATAAAACGCGAGCTGATGTTAAAGGTGGCACTTTAACACAATATCGTGGACATTTAAGACTTTTAGAATTAGCTCAGGTATACTTTTAGTTTTATATGATTACTATTTACAATATTTTTCAATATGATTAAAGAGATTCAAATTCTACAACAAAAAAAGCATATCATTTAATTTTCATCTGAATTCTAGGTCCCTGAAGAACATGTCGATGATTTCGCTAGTGTACGAACATTTAAAATATTTAATACTAATAATCTTTGGATTGATTTACAAGCTTTACATCGTAGTGTTAAACAAAAAACTCTACAAATGGAAATCATAGTCAATCCTAAAACTTTAGATTCCGGTACGAATATATTACAATTGGAAGAGGCTGCAGGAGCTGCTATCAAGTCATTTAATGGTGCTTTCGGTAAGGATTAATACATACGTATATATATGTATATGGTTATGATTCAATGTTCTTGGCCATTGGTCACTTACACATGACTTCTAAATGTTGTTCAGAAAATCAGTTACTTGATATTTCATAGTATTTTACCAATTAAGATATTCGCCGTTGTTATGTCTGTGTCTGGGGTGCTCTATGTTATGTACGTGCTAGATCTTTCCTATTTATGACTCTACTGCTTATGCTTGGAAACGAGCACTGTTGAGGTTCACACGAAGCAAAGTAAAAACAAAAAGAGTGATATAAATGAAGATTTATTCACTGAAAAAAAAATACTGAAAACAAGTCCTGAAAATAGGTCACCCAAAATTATGCCATCATTAAGCTAGGGACGCTCATTTACATACTGATTTTAAACGAACATGATAATTAGTAAGTGCAGACCATAAAAGTGAATAGTTAACCAGGGTTACTGTAAAACACATATAATGTTCACATATAATTGTCATACTGGAGCAAAAGTTCACACTTGTCATACTGAATGAAATTTACACTTAATTGGTGATACACATTGTGACCTGAAGTAATGTTACACCGGAAAATATGAAACCAATATTATACTGATCGAAATTTCACTTGGAATAAAAGTGATACCGCAAAATGCTACTATGGATTAGAGAAAATGTGAACCCGCCTTCATATCTTGACTTACTAACCATTTATTTACATTAGGTAGTTAGGTTCACGAATATTATTGAATGTAAAATGAGTTGGGAGTTGTGTTTCTCCACAGGAAATCTTTATATTGGTAACAACCAATTTCAATATTTTTTAGATATCGTTAATAAGTTATATTTAAATGACGCCACTAAGGAGTCGATTGTTTCGTATATTTATTTGAAAAAAACAACAACAATGGATAATTAGTTGCTTTGATGGTAGTTTATTTTCGGTCAAATTAACTTTCATCTGACCGTACACGTCGTTCTTTAAATAAAAATAGTTCCTTCATGGATAAACTAATGTAGTTGCAGAACAGGATTACTACATATAAGACGTTTTATAGTGTTACTTTTCTCTAACAAGAGTGAACTGCCTCATGATCACCGGGTAAGTAATAGTGAGGTTAGACACAGGGTATTAGTAAATGATGGTAAATCAGTTGGTGAAGTCATGAATCTTCATCGACTAAGATGGTTAGGCCACATGTTACGTATGCCTGAACACCGATTACCACAACGCGCTATGCTGACTAGTGTAGGCGTTGGTTGGAAGAGAGTTAGGGGCGGCCAAACCAAAACGTGGCATCAGAGCATGAAGTCACTAACTTCTAGTCTGAGCCATGTTGTTAGATGGAGATTATTTGGTTGGGGTCCACGTGACTATTGTAACCAATGGTTAATGATTCTGTGTGACATGGCTCATAATCGATCACAATGGCGTAGGTGTATACACTCTTTGTCTTCCCTTAAACCTTGAGATTAAAATTGCTTAATAACTTTTTTTCCTTCCTATACTATATCCTTATATATAACCTATCTTTTATATGCTACCATCACTAAATAAACTATTTCTATGAATCCGGTGTTCATCTTGCTGTGTTAACGAGGTATGGCAACTTGGACCGATGCATAAATGTGCCTGGTCCTACGTTGTACCTGACTGACTGATTATATACACATCCTGGCTTCATTTGAAAGACACAATTTTACTTGTATTATTTCAGTTGCAGCTTTAAAGTATGTTTTTTTGTTAAAAGATCGTTTGCTAAAAAGTAATTGTCACCTTTTTTCAGGCGTTAATGTCCCACGAAGTCGTTTCCTACCAGTTAAAACTACTTCAGATTTATTGTTAGTAATGTCTAATTTGTATGTATTAGATGGTGGAAGTTTATCATTGTCTCCATTGCGAAGTTTTCCATCTGTGCCTTTAGTAAAACTTGGTAGTCATTTTAAAAAAGTCAAAGATTTTTTAAGTCGATTTACAAGTATACCAGATCTACTGGAATTGGATCATTTAACTGTATCCGGAGATGTATACTTTGGAAAAGGAGTAGTTTTAAAGGTAACGTTCAAATTTAAAGTAACTGTATTATAGTTTTTATTTTTTTATAGAAAATAATTCGAACTTTGATAGTAGTATGTACAGAACACAAGGTTTATGTTCAACCAAGTGGTAACCTTATGAACTTTCCTAAACAGTGCCTTACGAGATGCAAATAATTAAATAGAGCGAAAAGTTTGAGAAGTAATGGGATCGATGTATGTTTATCTTAATGTTAGGTAGTTCGAGATATTCAGAAAAATACCTTGGACATAGGTCTCGTTATAGCTGGGACTTGTTAATAAGACGTACTTGTATTCGTATGGAAATTGGTACTCTCTTAAATATTACTACTAAGCTATTCAGTCCACAACTAACCTATAAGACCTAAATATTTACGTCGCTTGATCTCCAAGTAGTAACCAGCAAAATGTCAAATCACGTAGACTAGTGGCCAAATCATAACTTGGTTGATAGAATTATATTTGCAGAACTAAATGACCACTAGAGAAACAGAACATTGATCACTATTCCGTGATTAGGATGTGAAGATGTTATTAAAGGAGTATAATACAGTGAAATAAATTTGAAAAGAGAAAAAGGATAGGGAAATGAGGAATCCAGAGAATTAGAATTTGGTAGAACACAAGGGGTAGATGCACCTTTGCCATTGCAAACGTCTTTGAGCCATGTCATTCAAGGTCTCTAACCATCAGTTGCTATCATCTCGCGCATCCCAACCAGGTATTCTACACCTACAAACATGGCTCAGTCCACTAGTCAGTGACTTCATGGAGTTATGCCACGTTCTGGTATGGCCGCCCCTAGCTTTCTTCCAACCTACTCCTACACCCGACCGTTGGTCGTCGGGCTTGCCTATCGTGATGAACCAATCGAGCTATACCGGCTGCAACAATCGTTCCTCAAGGTCCATCCATGCCAGAAAGGTAAGACTAAAAGCAGCAAACCCAAGGTCCGAAGGCGTACTGCTGACTGTACAGAGGTGTGACAGCAGTAAGGTGTTTCCTTCAGACATTCAGCATAACAGCAATGCTGCCTTCCCACAAGGAGGGGTGGGCTTCGAAATGGTCGACCCTAAAAACGCACACCTCGCCTTATCCCACGGATATCCGTCTCCGGCGGTAAGGTCTTTTGAAGAACGGAGTTAACACATCAAAAATCCCCCACAAAAAGGCCGTGCGTGACCGACTTCAAGCAGTTGTCCCTTGGGCATTGCGGTCACGCTCTCAGGTCATTAAGATTACTTCTAATCCAATTTCCTTCTCAGGTACCTCTAGAGGAACCCATCCACAGTGTGGGCAGCCGGTAAGTGATATTAGCCCTCATATCCGTAACTGTACACGAGACCAAGTTGTTCACTTTCAAATCCTTCCTACTAAAGTTGGTGTATGATACTAACCATAAAATTAAAGTTTTCACAGGATTCCTGCACTAATTGTAATTGTTTGTTTTATATATTCTTTCAACACAATTTATAATAAACTAGCCTTGTTCTTCTGTAAAACAAATTCAACAAAACAGTCAATACATATAAATCGTTGTGTAAAATTCTTTCTTTTTCTTTCAGGGTACAGTTATTATAATTGCCAATTTTGGTAATCTTATCAATATACCACCAGGTTCAATATTAGAAAATAAAATTGTTTCAGGAAATCTACGCATTTTAGATCATTAAATACGATACATTTGAAAGTCAAATGAAGTATTACACTTTATTAATATATAGTATAACACATTAGGACAATGTACACGTTCATTTTGGTGCTTTCATTATCACTATTATTCTTATTAGTGTAATTCATTTTTAATATCCATTCAATTTTCTTATTGATAACTTCATTTCATTTTACCCTGATATATCTAAACTGATTTAAGTACATATAATTTATACTTTTTGAAGCTTTCATTGCCATTGGATGGAGAATGATGATCTTCTTTTTGCATCATTTTGTTTATAATTTTAAGTAGGAAACACACTATAAATTTAAATATAATAATATTTTCATTTTACTCGTGATTATTTATTGAGATGGGGGATTTACGCCTGTTACCCCTCGTCGAGGAGCATAGGCCACTCACTAGCAATCTCCATCCAACTCAGTCCTGAGCAATCCTTTCCAGTTGTTATTCATTCTTTTCACATCTGCTCCTATTTCCCGATGTAATGTGTTCTTTGGTCTTCCACTTTTCCGCTTCCCTTTTGGGTTCCAAGCTAGGGCTTACCTTGTAATGCACATTGGTGATTTCCTTAATGTATGTTCTATCCACTTCCAACATCTTTTCCTAATTTCCTCTTCAGCTGGTTTGTTCTCTCTCATAAAACGCTGTTGCTGATAGTATCCGGCCAGTGAATGTTGAGTATTTTTCGTAAACAACTGTTTATAAATACTTGTACCTTCTTGACGATGGAGATTATTTATTGAGATCGGATTTATGTTATCATTTAAGTATAACAAGTTCTGTTGGGTTCTGTTAATTTAATATTAAAGATTAAACTTTTTATTTTCATGGTTGAAAGTATGAGTCAATTGAAGCTAGACCACCATGGAAAACCTGGAAGCATTGGACGGCCGTTTCGTCCTATTGTGGGACTCCTCAGCAGTGAACATCCACGACCTCGCCTTGCGAGACTCGAGCCCATGTCTATCGGTTAAGTGCTCTGGCGTGTGACTGGTAGGTCCTGGGTTGGAATCTCGCGAGGCGAGGTCGTGCACTGCTGAGGAGTCTCACAATAGGACGAAACGGCCGTCCAATGCTTCCAAGTATTCCCTGATGGTTTAGCTTCAATTGACTAACGCTTTCAACTATGAAAATACTAAATCTCCACAAAAAACCCCTTCTGATAATAAATTTTTTATTGTCAGCTTAAGTGTATGCGATGAGTGACTTTCAAGTTGCATAAAATCACTGACTAGCCCTAACATAATTGTTTGAAAAGATACGCCGATTTCGTGTTATTTATTCTGAACAGGAAGATATATAATAGATAAAGGATATACTTTAGTTTCGATATAAAGATTTTATGAGGTTAACTTTCGCTTTTATATTTACCTCCAAAGTGGATAGAATGTATTAGGTGTTCAAAGTTCTCAACTTAGGTTAGATACATTTATCCGTAATTTTCTTATAGAAAGTTATCATCTTTCAGTGACTTAAACTGTCGATATTAACCATTGGTTTTTGGCTCGAATATTATTCAAGTTATATAAACAGTACCGTGTCGTAATCTTGTTTCTCTGTATATGTGCTGTTATGATAATTATAAGGACAGATTATTTTCGATATTTTGATTTCTATCACTTATTTACAATGGAATTAAGCACAGTTAGATCTTTATAATGTCGTAGGTTGATTTTCATTGCACATATTCGAGTACATTATCAAAACCGTTCATGCATGACATTTAAGCTTGACTCAAACATATGTACATTTTTTCACAATGTTCGAGTTGTATTTTTAATTATAATTTGTGCGGTATCTCTTTAGAGCAACGCAAACTTGTTAGTTGAGCTACTAATAGCTTATGATGATAAACCTGGAGGTAAACTCATTGATTATTGCTTGTTTGAATCTTCCCATCGATTTGTTAGGACTGCAACTGGTCAGTCTCTAATTGGCATATGTGCATACTGTGCGTATTGCCTCAATATAGCCTTAATTCACAAGCATGGTAAGCAGAGATGGATAGTGAACATCAACTCTGAGATGCAGGTACATCCAGCTGACGAGTCCCAAATAGGACGAAGTGGCGCGCGTCCTGGATTCCACTGCTAGCCACTATCCATCTCTGCAAACCTGGAGGTAGTTAAGAAAATATGAATACTAAATTGGGAAGAAAAACAGTTGGATTTTTTGGTCGAAACTAAGGTCATATCTGGTATTTTGTACACTTAAATATATTATTATTGGAAAGTAACATGTACGTAAGTTTTCGTGTTAGAGGGACTGAGTAACCAAGGGAAATTCTTGTTTATTTTAGCATGGATAGTCATTATGATGTACTGTTGTCTTCGAAGACTTCTTAGTGTACAGTCACTGATCACTGGTGGTTTGTAAGTTCAGTGTTCATTATATAACAATTTCGAGGTATTTTTATACCAATACCCATAACAGTCTATGTGACAAAACACTTAGTCACGTTGATTTTTTTAAAATGAAAATGCGGAATGAACTAATAGTGAAGTATCAGTGTCGGTTGAAATAGTATTGATCCTTTTTATAAACTCAGATTCGAAGCAAATATCAATTAGTTTTGTCTAGGATGAATCAATCAAATTAAAACACTGTACTAATGTTTTGTTGTGTCCCTATTATCTGTTGTATACTTGATGGTTCTGACCTGTGATAAGAGCTTAGTTTCGTCTCACAATTAATTTACTCTAACTGCAGATAAGTAGGTAAGTTGATCTCCGTAGTTCATAGTAAACTTACTTACTTACTCCTGTTACTCCCAATGGAGGATAGGCCGCCGACCAGCATTCTCCAACCCACTTTGTCCTGGGCCTTCTTTTCTAGTTCTTTCCAACCTTTGTTCATTCTTCTCATGTCTGTCTTTATTTCTCGGCGTAATGTGTTCTTTGGTCTTCCTCTTCTCCTTTGGCCTTCAGGATTCCATGTGAGGGCTTGTCTTGCGACGCAGTTGGGTGGTTTCCTCAAAGTGTGTCCTATTCACTTCCAGCGCTTCTTCCTCCACTGGAATCTGGTTTGTTGTCTCCCACAGTAACTTGTTGCTTATAGTGTCTGGCCATCGGATCCGAAGTATCTTGCGTTTTTATTTAAGTTTTCGTAAAGAAATTTTTCTTTTATAAACAAAGGAAAACTGTCACTTCATCAACTTGTGTAACAGACAAAGATAATTCAAGAGTGAACTGATCACTATACATGTTGTATATGTGTGTTTATAATTTGTGCCTACTTTAAAATGAATGATCAATTTTGATATGATTCGTAAATTTGTCTAAACAGTATGAAAGGGTATGAGAAAAAGTTTCCAGTATTTCATACTAAACACACCTACTGAATGTTTTTCGCTCTATTACTAATCCCCTTAATCTAACAAATGGACTGAAGTCTTATTCAAAGATTTCTGTTCAATGCAAAATTTAACAACACACCAACATATTTTGCATACCATTACCAATAATGAGTCGATTATATCAAAATTCGAATAGAAGGAAATCTGAGATAACTAATTTTTGATATCACAAAATGGAAGATAATAAATATGCCTTTGGTAAATATTAAATTAGAGACAGATATGAGAAGAATGAACCAAAACTGGATAGAACTAGAAAAGAAGGCCTAGGACAGAGTGGGTTAGAGAATGCTAGTTGACGGCCTATCCTCCATAAATAAGTAAGTAAATATCAAATTACGTTCGTTGGCCAATGTTTTATATCTTACTTTATCCCAATGAGGTCCTGGTAAAGATGCTTGATTATCGATTAAATAAGTCTCATTATCGTAATGATTTGATTAGTATAGAGTTGTAATACAATATATCAGTAGAAATCAGCTTAAAATGATAAATTCAAACGACAGTAAGGAAAGAGATAAATATTTATTTATTTATTATGCAGATTCAACAAAACGAAAGTAAACCCGATCGAATTCACAAATGGATTGTTGGAGATTTTAGTAACTGTGCAAAGACTAAGTTTTGAATTGATGATTGAAATTGTTTTCAAACTTCAGGAATTTTCTTTTTTATTTCCCAACTTATTCTAGCCATATCTCCGCAAACATTTAATAAACACTGAGCTTGATTTCTTGAAGTTGGTCGAAGAACAACAACTTCACTTAAGTGATATGACAACAGTGCATTTCCACCTAGGCTAGTTGTATGTGCTCCAACAACAGCTTGTACTTCAGCTAGACTTGTGTGCAAGAAACCTGATATACCACCAACCTGTAACACATATAACATTTCTAAATTTATTCAAAAAGTTTAGATTTTACAAGAAACAAATATGAAAACTTATATAAAAAAAGTCATTGAAAACAGAAAAGAGTACTAGTGTTGTGAACAGAACACTAGTTGGGGACAATCGAATGTATTTAAGCAAAGATTACAGACTATCTCAATAAATTCTGATTACCAAACAATGAACAGTCAATTTGCAAATTAACAACCAATTGTTTCAATCTTCACTGTTTCTTCTCTAATTCCATTGCTCATGCATTTTCCAGACGATTGCGCTTCATTCCAGTTCTTTCGTCATCGGTCTTCTGCCAAAATACATTCTATGTCTGACCCACACCATATACTACTTATATGGATATAAGTAGACCACACCACACTAGATGTGGCTGCCTGGTTTTATTTTGATGATGTCACACAATCAGACAGAGTCGGATCTAGAATATATGGATCTTAATGCTAATGGCATGATACCTAACAAAACTATTGAGTTGTGGAGCATGGTTGTCTATATTTCTAACTGTGTATGCCAATTAGTCATTAGAGAGTGATCAATATTATGTTTACCTGGTACTTTAATGCTGATCGAATTCTATCGACCAGGTTGCAATGCGACCGCTAGTCTAAGTGACTCAACATCGTATTTTGATATTAGGTGGCGGGTAGGTAGAAAGCGTTGCTATTTGCCACTAATCTAAAGATGTAATCTTGAGGAGATTGATGGTTCCCACGGGATTTGGACCGGAGTCACTGAG